AAAAGCAAAGGACTGCAGCGACAGAAATCATCTTCTGTCTGACCAAATGCCAGAGTTCAGTACATCCATTGCCCTCAAAGGCTCAGAGGTGATGGCTTAAAAACAGCATTAAAGATAAGGGAGTCGTTCATAGCTATCCATGTATTTTTTGTTTTAAGATTTATTTATGTATTCATATAGAGCTGGGGTACAAGCCAGAGATGCGGAGGGTGAGTGGATTCACCAGAGACAGAGAGCAGAACAGTCCGATCAAGGAAGTACACTGCTGAGGGGAGCAGCGGGCGGGTCAGGAGAGGTCTGCCACACCATGTGGATCACCGCCGGGGCAGGCGGGGATTGAACTCATGCAGAAGTGGCTTAAACTTCTTAGTGCTGTGCTTTAACCCGCTGCGCCACCAGGGAGGGCCCCACTATCCATGTATTTTTTAATAAGTGTACAACCTTCTGTGCAAACCTTTATATCTTCAAAATTAATACTGATGTTAACTTAAAAATCTAGGAGGTCAAGGAATAACTGATAGTACAGTGTTGTGATAAATGCCAGGAACATGTAGTCATTAGATGTATGTGGCCTTTGCCTGACAGCTGAGGCCTCAGTGTGAAACAATGTGTTAACGGCATCCACAGGAACCCAGGAAATCAATAGTTTGAGCTGAACTGCTCTTTCTCTGCAAGATGGTTACTTCCGTTCACGTTCCTGAATTGGAAAAACTAAGTTTTTATGTGAAAGGCTACTTATATCAAGTCTTACTGAGACTAATTTACAGGGATAGTGTCAAAATGACTTCATTGCCCAATATGTTGAATTATATAAACACCAAAACCCATACATTCATGAGTTTTAACAAGAATTTATCAGTCACACTAGGAACTACATGGATCACTTAGAATCACAGAATTCTGGGTCTTGGAGCTTATAGAGTACCCAAGGATTATTATCACTCCAGTAGCATAAGGGCCTCAAGGGAAGGAATGAGACCCCATGATTTTGGGGTCTCTCTCAAAATCAGACTTATTAGCAATCAGTAATAAGTAGTATGAAAGTTTTTTTTTTTCTGAATTGCACTTTGAATTTCTAAATTTTATAGAGTCAAACTAAAAGACTGGCTCTTAAATTAGTCATGCTATTTATTAGCTGTTGAGTGGGAAGGATAGTGCAATAAGATACAATTATAAAACCCTGAATGTAGCTGCAAACCAGCCGTTTTCAGCCTGTTTATAAAACACACCAAATATCAGATGGTATCAAAGGGTAATGTGTTAATTGCAGATACGCAAAATACCGGCTGCAATTTCTAGGAAAGACTAAAGAATTTGGATTAAGCTTTTGGCAGGGCTGCTCTACAACATACTTTTTCTCTCGAAATCTAGCGGCTTAGAAATAGAAAGAACTTGAAATAAATGAGGAAAGGCTATTTTAAGCACCTCAAGTATTGTTCTTCAAAAATTCTACGGAAATATATATACAAATACATATACAATACATATATAAATGTGGTATCAACCACCAGAATGCTGACTCTATAAATTAAAATCTTTCTGTTATCCACCCCACTCTTCAACTGCCTAATATAATGACATCCTATAAAATGTAAAGGGAAAAAAGCCCAGAATTTGTAGTCAGGAATTATATTTATATAAAGGTATAGCAACTTAAACAGCTATACAACTCTTCTCATCTGTAAGAGTCCCCTTACCTATTTTGCTATAAAAATGCATTAGATATTCAATGATTCATTGATGGTTGCAATTTCCTTTTTGCCTACTCTGAAATTATTATTCTAAGTGCTCTGGCATGAACACCAACTTTCTAGAAACCAGCATTGTTTGCTCTTACTTCCTTCAGGTTCTTCCTGACCACCCCCACACAGGACCACCAGGACTTTCTACCCCATCCTTTATTTTATGTATCTCTATAGAACTTATTTCCACCTGACAACAAAAAGCATGAGCACATTTGCTTCTTTGCACCCTCTCCCCTCAGCAACACCCACACAGATAAGCTCCAGAGGATGGGGATGTTCTAGTGTCTACTCAGAGCCTCAAATAGTTCCTAGCAAATTATGCAACCCGTAACGCGGAATTTCTAAATGAACCTGGAGATTATAAATGCCATTCCCACAGATGATCACTGAGGAGATGAACTCACCAATCTAGAGCTAAAACAAATCTAAGCTGAAGAACAGATGTGATCAAGTATACACCACCAGCAGCCTGCTGTGTCCCAGTTCAGAGCACAGGCTGTCCACTTGTACAGAGCTGGATTCCAGTTCACTGATCAGTAGGACATCAATCACGACCGGCTAATCTCTCCATGTGTCAATTTACCCAATATGAAGCAGGGATAACAGCACCAACTTAATGTTATTAAAGGGACTAAATATGATAATGTGTGTAAAACACTACAGTACAAAACAATAAATAAGTGCTTAACAAAATGAACTAGTGTTACATTTATCGTTGTCATCACCATCATCGTCTCTCTCAATATTTTAGATTTGCCAAATAATTTATGGGGACATTGGCTGTCTAGTTTCTAAGTCCAAGCAGCCAAGTAGCAGCAAATGTGAAAGATGAAGCGGTTGCCAGATATGTGAGCAGTTAAAAAAAGGGGGAGGAAAATGAAAACCAACAGTCCCACAGGATTGCACGGCAGCATAGGAACATCCCTGAAGATGGTGTCTACCCCTAAGGAAATAATTACGCAATATTGAATATGCTCTTTTAAGATAGCAAGAAAATACAATTCTAAAATTATAAATTTCCTTCAAAATGGTTTACACAAACTTTTAGTGTAAAAGATAAACTTACATTACCTTCAAAGTAAACATTACAGAGGAGGCTTGGCTAACTCTGCTGTAGCTAGCAACCAGTATGATTTATTCCAGCCTATCTAAATTTTTTTGGACAAGCTGTTAAAGATCAAATTATCTCAATTTAGGATCATTCTTCTCTCACAATTTGTAATGTGAAATCACTCAAGTGTGATTTCAAGTAAGTGGTAAAATGGTTCCACTTTACTGTGTTAGTGATATTGCACAACCCTGTAACAAATGTGCTTTTATTAAGCCTATGTTCTTTTTAACAGAATAACCAGGGCCTCGTGAGTTTAGGAAGAAAATCAAATTTCAAAATCAAAACCACATTCCAAATTTCATAAAAGATTTTTCTTGTTCAATTCTTTTGTAAAAACACTGGTCACCATTTAACATACAGTGGTGGCAAAATGCACCCAATTTACATGCATGAACAACCCCATAAATCATACTACACGGACACAACAGATTTCAAACAAACATAGCTCATGTTGCTGTTAACTATAGTTACAGTGCTCCCAATGAAGAAATGGCTAATATGAGAAGTAGGAAATCCAGTTTCAATCTGAAATAAGAGTCTCTGTGACAAGTAACATGAGACAATAATTACATGGAGTCATTATGTGAAAAGAGAACCATTTGTCAAAAATCACTTTGTGCTAAGGCACCATACTCATGTAGAACAAGATCTTGAAAGTATTTACCTTAGGTTAAGGACAAAAGGTTCCCCCCAACCCCCATCTTTAAATTACCTGAAAATTTCAAATACTTATTGTGTCCATAAATTAAAATGCCTTTCAATGTGCATTATACATTCCATGTTCTGAAATTAAATAATTCAACAGACATTCTAAACGCAAAGGTTCTGTAGGACTGGACTGCTTTCAAGAGTCAAAAAAAAAAAGAAACAAAAAGCAATAATCAATAATCCTTTCTTACCTTACAGGAAAGGTTTCTGGATAAGGGATTTGACTAGTAAGAAGAAGAAAATTTAAGCACCAAAATAAGACACTTTTTTTAGAAACCAGAAAGAACTGGCAATATATGTTAGGACAAGACCTCTCAAATATTTACCAAAAATAAGTTTTGTAGTAAATACTCTAATCCTATCACCTAAAATAATAAACAAACAAACAAAAATTGGTTTTGGTGTGTCAGTGGTATTTTGTGAAAGATACAAACCAAATTCCACTTAAGATGTCATTGATCTCAAGATGTTCTATGACTCTAATTTGATCAAATGAGAACTCAAATTATTTGTACATTATAAGGAAGTTATTTATCATTCCTTGCCCACCAAACAATATTTATGATTAAAGTACAATACTAAATTATTTTCAAGTGCATAGAATTCATAATAAATTATCTGTGTTGGGGGGGTGGGGGAAGCACCTTCCCTGAACATAAGAACTCAAAGTCAGTATGTGTAAATATATTTTAAAATAAGGAAACCTGTAAATACAGCCATCTTATAAATTTTCCTCCTTTTGTATCTATTTAGCAACATAAACATTTTCAGTATCAAAATAGTAATTTTAGCTTTAGTTTTTCTTCTCCACAATATGCTTATTCTACAAATTTAAATTTTTAGCATGTGTAAAAGATCAAATAAAAATTTAAATGTTACACATGGTTATACTTAAGTCAGATACACATGACTGGAAATAAGTAACTTCAACCTAGAATATAATTTAAATGCCACAGCAGAAGAAAAAAGACCAAAAAGGGGAGAGAACAATTCTCCTTGAGTAACTCTTGACTACTAGACTATACACAGCAAAAAAACCTTGAAAGAAGTTATCCAGAAATGAAATTCACTAAATAAGTGAGTCAGGATTATGAGTGGGAAATAGACTGATCCAATGCAGGTTAAGAAGATATTTTGAGGGGAAAAAATTCTTTCCAAACAACATAATAATTTATCTCTCACTCATTTTACAATCAGCATTTAAATGTCAACACTACAAAAGCTTTCTTGAGAGTTCCCATATCCTACTTTCCTCTAAAAAATTTCTGGTCTCTTAATTTCTAAGTTTCACATCAAATCCCTTTAGTTCACTCTACTTCCATAATCTCCATAAAAAGACCCTAAAATAATAGTTATCTTACCCTTGTAGTCAGAAACCACCATGTAAATATTCAAAATTAAGAAATTAAAGGTAAAAAAATCAACTTGAAATAATACACTTGTTAACAGACAGGGCTTTATGTAGAAGGGAGACCACATAATTGTTCATTCTGATTACTCCCTGGCTCTTAAGACAGTACTATGTCAGAAATTAAAATGAGTAGTAGATACTTACAAAATACTCCAAGTCTGCATCCATTTTAAATTAGTGAGTTAAAAATGATTAAAATCATATCATTGTATTTTCTGCGAAATAGTACAAAAGTGATTTTGCCAACAGAGTAAAAAAAAAAAATCTGCAACTGATATTAAACAGCTTAAGTAATATGGGTGAAAAAAAATCTGAAGGTTGAATTCTAAATACAGGGAACAACATAAACTTTCATGCATGAACACATGTTAAGGAACAGAACAATACAACAGTGACTGATTCTTAAATGATATTTTGATATATAAAGAGAAGGAAAAGGCAAAATGTTGCCTGCTAATGATGAAAAAGCATCTCAGCAATTTACACAAAATGATACTAAACAGTTTTTTTTTAAAAAAAAAAAAAGATGTCCTAAGAAAACCAAACTACAATAAGTTAGTGTTTTCCAATACATGCTGAATTATTTGATCCCGTATCTATACAGTTACTGTCTTAATTCCTAAATGTGACAGCATATTTAGTAATTGAGGTACATTAGTTTACATCTTTTTATAGCTATCCTAAGAGGGTTAATTTGCCTTTTCCAGTTTTTCATCATCTTCACCTCCAAGGAAAAGCAAAGGAAACATTCCTAGAATGCAGCCAATAGTCACCCCGCCAGCTTTGCCCTAAAAAAAAAGACATTTTTTAAAAGTTAGTCAGCCTTGAAAGAATCTTTGCATACATATCTAATATAAATACAATGTACTATAAAAGTCAACTCTTGACTGCAGGTCTTTGGACCATGATTAACAAGATGTGGATATACACATAAGGATCAACATAATTTTCTGCACAGTAATGTACAGCTCTAACCACTTGGAGAGTGAGAATCTGTTTTTCAACATCCTAAGTTATGCTGATCCTGCTGGTCCTGGCATCACTTTAAGAACCACTGTCCTTCACAAAAATGCACCTTCACCCATGATTGTAACTATCACCCACCTTGCCCATGGGTCTTACAGTGAATGGGTCTCTTATTTAAAACTAGTTCCAATCTAACACTCCCAACTTCTTTTACCGAGCTGTATCATTCTCTTTTTTCCAATTCCCATAATAATTATGAACTCTAAAACACTAAATACTTTTTGGTTAGGTTTTTTTAACGTCTGTCCATCCCTCTACCCCACCAGAATGTAAGATTTACAAACAATGCATTAAAAACTCCTAAACTGTTTTCAATGAGTATTCAGTATTAATCTTTTACCCATCATCTCAAATTCACACCCTTCTAACTCTTGTCCTTCAGTCAAATGCCTACTAGCTGCGACCGCATGAATACCCTAGTTGCACCTCAAATTCAACAGGTCCAAAACAGAACTCATTACCTTCCCCTCCACACCTCTCTTCTTGACTTACTTAATGGCATCATGACCCACCTAGCCCCTTATTTAAAAGTCTTCACTAGCACTCCATTACTCAAGTATGAGGTACAAACTCCTTAGCACAGTTTATACAATGCCTTTCCTGACATATTCTTACTTCAAAGCATTCTACTACTGCTTCTACTCACAACTACTATACGTTATATTCCAGCAATGCCTAATTTCCTGTATTTCTTGAAATATACTGTTTTTATGCCTTTTTTTAATAGTTAGTTATATACTTAGAATTCCCTTGATCACTTACCAAATGTCTCATGCACAATTCAAAAATCAAGTTAGACCCAGTAATGGTCAAAGAAATTTTCCCATGAAAAGAAATTTTCTCCTTACAAAGTGTTTATCTCTTATTTGTGCTATTCCTATAGCTAGTATATATTTTTATTATTATATGACACACTAAATTATAATTTGGTGTACATATCTGATTTCACACCTAAACAATCCTCAAGATAACTATAGTTTACTATTATATGTCCTGCAATCTCTTAACATTAACAGAATCATACAGAAAAGTCATATGAAGAATTTAAATCAAGTACAACAAAACATACTGTTCTTCTGAAAACTGCCAACAGTTAGCAAAGCTTTTTTTTGTTAAAAACTTCATTCAAGCTTAATTGCTCTGGCTCTCTGAATTCAATCATCATAAATCACAAAAATACTTACCAGATGTGTACTAACACGTGTTTGCCACATGTCAACTTGCTTTGGTGTGAGATCAGGAATCGACAGGCCTAACCTAGAAGCCAAAGCTTCAACATAGCCTGCAAGTCTTTTAAAAAAAAAAAAAGGACGAAATACAAGTTTTAAAAGAGACACACAAATGTCATCATATAGTAAAAAATAATTATACAAAGAGAAACAAAATCATTTTACACCTTTTAACTGGCACTCTACAAAAGGTATAAACACTATTTTACAACTTTCATTTTTTATTGCGATGAATAGATTGTCTTAAAATATGTCCATATTAACATACTCAATACACAGGTAAAGTAATTAACAGTGCAACTATCCTCTACCATAACTTTTACAAGATCAATTCAATGTGTAAAACAGTTTTGACAATTTTAATGTATGCATTTATTCCAAATCAAAGCAAAAAGTTTTAATGTATGATATAATTCAATAATAATTTGTCATCATAATGAAAAACTTTTCAGAAGTTATCAGACTGATATGCCAAGAAAAACAACTTAGAATTTTCAAGGCAATCTCAGGTACTATCAGCTCTACATTGCTATCATTTCATGAAAACAGTCTTACTTTAAGAACTGTAAGAAAGGGAAAAAGCCAATTAAACTTTAAGAACTGTAAGAAAGGGAAAAAGCCAATTAAACTCTCATCAATTAATTATAAGATAGCTCCCAACAATTACAATTATCAATTAATAAGACAGATCTATCAATTGTAAGATAGATCCCAACATCAGATACGTTAAGTTCTAAAAGAAATGTGCACTGGTAAAGTGTGGTACTTAATTTGTTATGTAATGTATTTTTTTAAAGATAGAGAAGAACTAGTTCTTATATATAAAGAAATCTTTATCACGCGTCAAAAATAACTCCCTTACGATAATAATCAAAAAGTAAAATCTATTAGGTCATTTGATTTCATTAAATACAGAAAGTTATCACATTAATTATATTATGTTTATTAACTTTAGTGTTGGGAACTGAGAAATGGAATGTTTAAGGATGACATCATCGTAGATTTATGGCAGAAATTCCAGGAATATAAAATTTCTGCATCAAGCTAGAAGCAAAGAATCTGTTTTTAACAGTCACTTTGACTTCAAGCCCCAGACAGAATCTTATATAACCAGATCACCAAGAAGTTGGCTTTATCTAGATAAGGCTAACCCAACTTCTATTAGACCCAAATTCGAACCTTAAAACTTACTACTTTAGTGAACCAAAGAAAGAAGACTGAGTGAGAGAATGTTTATCATATTATTTCATGTCAACTTAGTCTGACTTAAACTTCCAAGTTTCCCCAACCTGAGGAAGCAAACCAGGCCATGTGCCACTTGGAATGGTGAATGTAGAGAGGGAAAACTAGCTTTTTCTACTAAGTAGACGTATTCAGTTTGTTTTGTCATCCCTGCCACATGGAACAAAAGAGAGGGAAAACTGGCCAAATCCATATATGCCCTGGCTATCATTCCTTTCTCTCTGTAAAACACACCCAGTCGGTATCCTCACGTTTGATCTACACAGCTTTATCTCTGGGCTTAGTGGGAGGAGACTGAGGTGGAATCATGATGGTGGTCTTGCTTTCAATCTTGTCTCATCCTTGGAAAATGTCTATAAAATGCATATGAATACTTGAGTAAGTAAAGATTATTAAACAGAAATGCCAAGGCCCTACCACCAGACAATACTATGGCGTGTAACCCAGGTACTCATATTTGATGCACAAAGATTTAATACTACTGTATTATAAAACTGTATTAAATTTTAAGATTTAGTTTAAAGCACACAGGATTTTGTTCCTTTTTCTTTAGTCCTTCTTATTTAAAGAAGAATGGAGAAGAAAAAGTGAGCAAATAAGTATACACAAGTAGAAATGAATATATTAATGAACCTACCCAAGTCCAGCTAAATCTGACACAAGATTTCCCAAAGCAGCAGCTAAAAAAGTTTAAAATGAACAAGTGAATTGTTACGTCGAAGTCAAAAAATCATTATAATACAACACCATCTAATTATAAAGTACTTGGTCTACAAGTTATCACATTTCTCAAATTACATCAATTATATCCAAATTAACTGCAAGATTTCAAAATCGAACATAGGTCTTTTGAGATTACAGAATTCTTTTGAGATTAATTCTTTATCAGGTACTTAATTTTTTTCTGCTATTACAGCCACTTTCCATTTTGGTTTAATATTAAAACACCTGCACAATAATTTGCAGTTGTATCTTTTAGATAATATTCAAGGGAATTTTGGTATTTAGAAATTGAAGAAAAAAAAGGCTATGTAAGCTTTAAATTTTAAAAACAATCATGTTTTCTATACAGTAAACATAACATAGAACCATTCCCAAATTTTATTGTTAAAAAGAGAGGTTAATTGAGGGAAAGGAGAGAATCAAATTACACTTCCAATCTTGTATTTCCATCTTTGATTTTTATACCCAACTTTAAAATAAATGATTTTATAGAGACAAACAGTAGAAAGGTTTTGGGGTAACATTGAATTAAGGGGAAAACATCTTTTAACACTGTCAGTAATTTTATTGTTCATTAAAATTTCTCAGGAAAAAAAACTACTACATCACAAAATTAAATATTAGAGTGGGATCTAAGAAAATAGACACATTAACAGGCTAACTGAAATAAATCATCCTCTCCTAAACCTAATTTACTGAAATGTTTTATGAATATACAATAAAGTAATAACATTACTATTAAATACCTGCCATAGTTGAAATTCCAAAAATAATGCCAATAGACATCTCAATATGGGTTCCCTGAAAAATTATTACAAAGAAATTAATCTTAAAAATTAAAGTAACTATAAAATAGTACTTTATTAATAAAAATAGTTCAATCAATATGCTATTCATCAAGTATATATGTAAAGCATGCAGAAATGTGCACATTTAATGCAATAATTCACTTGAGTATTAAATATACACATCCATGCAGAAATTACATCTATATTTTATTTATTAAAATTAGGCTTTTGACTCTCTCTGATTGCACAACAGGTTAAAGCACAGCACTACGAAGCACTACAAAGTTCTCCAAAGCCACTGCTGCATGAGTGTGATCCCCAGCCAGGGAGCTGACCCACATGGCATGGCAGACCTCTCCTGACCCACCCCATTACTCCCCTCAGCAGTGTATTTCAGTTGATCTGCCTGTTTGTTCCCTACTCTGTCTCTGGTGAATCCTCTCACCCCCCCCATCTCTAGCCTGTACCCCAATTCTGTAAGCATAAATAAATAAATCTTTTTTAAAAAGTAGGCTTTCATTAAAATAAAACAAATATAGCAATATAATCTATCATTTAAAATCTAGAATGTATAATTTCATACCACAAAGAAACTCTAAAGCTCTTTAAACAAAGACCAACTCACCTAATTTTAAATTATGACTGATATCTATATTATTATTTACTCTACCAAAAGATTAAAAAGACAGATTTAACTAGTATCCAGGAACTAAAAGCTTCAAAAATGATCCTAGTAACACTTGCTTTTTAAGCCAGTAAGTAATGAGATTATATAATTCATAAGCAGCAATAGTTGGTATAACAAAGCTATAAAAGTAAAAATGTAAAAAGGAGGCTACATTGCATGTCTACTAAATTTATTTTATTGGGAGAGTTTTAGAACTTGAAAATATATCATTATTCTGAACAGAAGGACTTGTATATTTACTTCTACTGTAAAGAGAAGGCAATAAAATGAAGATAATTAAACTATTCTACTGGGTTATTACGTAGAATAAATTATGTAGGATCTATCATGCCAATTCAGTCCTAATTCTTAGGCAGATTGCCAAAAATAGATTCACTTTTCAAAAGTTTTCTTCAATACTGATGCTTGAAAATTTAAAAACTTTTAAATCTCAGTGATATTTGTTGAAAGGAAAAAAAAGAATACCATATCTGGTATGTAGAAATACTGCATTACTCAACTATTTACAAAACAAATGCAAAGCTAACTAAGCCTTCTGGTTTCACACCTTTAAAATACAACTCTTGTTATATACAGACTGAGCAGTCTGATCTTCAAAAGTCTACTGATACTTAAAATTACAAAACTGTAATGGTATCTAAGGAACAGATTTCTTAAGAGAAAAAGAAAACAGGTATAAAGAATGAAGTTGTTTCTATATGGATAAAATGAAAACACTAAACTGCCATACTAATACAGAAGAGTATTAATTCCAGCTACCTTGAATAAAAAAGTCATTTTAACAGCATTTATAGGAATTATTAGGAGTGACACAGAATCCAGTTGCAATACATGTATTTAAATAGAGTAAGTGCTTGTTCATTTGGTTGAATTTCAAACCCTGAAGAGGTCCACATATCATGAAAAGCTTTGGATAACATAAACAAAGACAGTTTGATGGCAATGGCTATGGACTTTTCTTCTTCCCATAATTAAAACAAATTTTATGTTAATAAATAAGGTAGGAATTACAAATAAATCTAACAAAACAATGGGCCATACATGTTTTATCACCTTAATACAATTAATCTACTCTAGAATTCTAATTCAATCCTAATTAAACTGTAAGAAAAATAATGTTTAAAATGCTTAAATATAAGTTATAAGGAAGAAATCACGCTAATATAAAAACTATAACAAAAACTAACAAACCAAATGCTCAGTACGAACAACACTGAACAATAAAGATCAAATCTACTTTAAAGAAATTGCATAGGAATTCGTTTCTATGATTAAAACAAGGGTATCAGCCAAGAGAATATAATAGGAAAAGGAAAACATCAAATGTCCATAGCATGCCATAAGGAAAAACAAAGTAGCCTTAACTTACAATCTTAAAACAGTTATAGCTGTTCCACAATGTTAGAATCAATGAGTTTAATAAAAAAACTAAAAGGTGAAAAAAGTCTTCAGGTAATAATGATCATTTATTTCCCCATTAATAATTTCTATAGCTATATTTCCTATCTATATATACATATATATACAGCTATTTTTTAATCTCAGAAATTGTAAAGGCTCTTTGAAAAACTTTACTGTCCTTGAATTAATTTGGAAGTATCACAAAAAAATACTGTACTACATTTAATAACAAGGTACTGAAGCCAGTGGTTTAAACATTTATTTCAAGGTACTGAAGCCAGTGGTTTAAACATTTATTTCAAGATTATATAAATAAGAACTGGTAATAGTCTTGAAACTAAATTTCAATGTAAATCAGAAAAAATAGTATTGCTAATTGGAGTCATTTATCTAGAATGACTGTTCCAGAAAAACAGTTCACTAACAATTGAATAATGAGACACAGACCAGAATGACACAAGAGCAAGCCATATTGTACTTTTAGAATGCAGGTGTTTTGATTTGGTTTGGCTTTTCCTTTTCGATAGCTGTATTTGAACACGTATCTTATCTGCTATTTTACTTATTTCAAAAAATGAAGTAAGTCTTATTCAGAACTGCAGAAGCCACCCACTATCTCTACTTTTATCTGCAAAACTTCCTTGAAACCCTCTCTATGGAAAACATATCCTCCCAACACTGCTGTGGCAATGATAGTCTCTTAGTATCTGAGAAGGCGGAAAAGAAAGTGGGTGGAAAAACAACAAATGATTATTGGGATGGTAGCATGGGAACTAGCTGTCAATAATGTAAAATACTAAGTCATGTGAAACTTCAATATTTCTCACAGCTGTAATTCAGACAATCTATTCAAGAACATATCAAGTTTAGTTCTGGTGAGCTATAGTGACCACATCTGTTGCCAAAATATTAGCAAGGATATAAAGAGTGGTACTATACCAAGTCTTGACTACAGTTTGTAAACTCGTTATAGTTTTTATTATAGTTAGATTTTATTTACATTAGCTACTTAAATAACCTAAGCAACTCATGTGATTTCAGAAAAGATAGTACAGTTCTAAATGCTTAAATAATTTTTTCACATTAGATGAAATGGTCAATTTGAGTCTTATATACATACCAAGAAAATGTAACAATTAGTTAAAAATAGAGAAAGAGGGAAAAAAAAGACCAGCATTCTGAACTTATTTTAAAAGCTGCTGAATCTACTGAAGAATTATGTGTGCTTATGATCTTCAAGGCGCATGTTAGAGTGTCTTCTAAGACTGGTGATCAGTAGGACACATTCCTACTGTGTTAACGTTACAGTTTGCTTCCACAAGGTGAATGACTGAATATTCTATATATCTCACTTCATCAATCTAGACATACGGTGAGCTGGACAGCAAAGAAAACCATTCTTGAATGAACCAATTTTAGATACTCTGTAAGCAAATTTGCAATCTATACAATGTAAATTATACTTTAATCCCTATTCTGAAACCTAAAAGCCCCCCAAAGCCCATTAAACTAGTAAATTTGGGGGCCTCCCTGATGTCACAGAGGTTAATGCTATCAAGCTAGTCTCAGTGCTATCCAGCATGAGTCCAATCCCTGGCCAGGGAGTTAACTCACATGGTGCAGCAGATGTCTCCTGTCTCACAGTGTTTCAGTGGATCTTCCTATCCTGCTCCCCACTTAATCCTGGCACCTCTGGCCTACCCTCCAGTTCTTGTATGCATGATAAATAAAAATAAATCTTTTTTAAAAACTCTACTAAATTAGTCATCCCTAAGACTAAATAATACTTTTAAGGAACATCTTTACATCAAAGTGACCAGAGCAAAAGGGAATTTTTTTTAACACTACAATGGAACAAAGACAAGAGGATATATTCACAGTGTTCTGAAATGAACTTAAAACACCTATGTGTTAAATGGATAGACTATATTACAAAACACCCCTTACTACATTTGTACCTGGGGAACTTGAACTATGAACTAATAAAAGAACATATTTGTGACAAAAAGCATCAAAAAATATTACATTTTTCCTGCAAGAATGTTGAAAGTAGAACAGGACAATACAGAATCAATAAGAACTGTTTATTTTTGGCCAGCAGCTTTACCACAAGTCATAATGACTAATATATATGATGACACCTTAACATTGAATTATAGCCTAATATGACATATAGTATTAAAAAATGCCTTCTTCATTATGGTGCTAAATAAAACGTTATGGCTATAATATGCAAATTACTAGGAAAATTTAGATCACATTATTTTCTTTGTTAACTCAGAATAGAAGGGGTGAGAGAAAGAACTTACTGCAACAATCATAATTGCATTATCCAAAAAGCCAAACCCTATGAAAGGTATCGCATTGTGGATGAATACTGAAAAACATCAAAAACAGAAAAATATATTTTAAGATTTCTATCACTTTAAAACGGTAGTAACAGACCACATAATTAAAGTTTCCTAAACCGATTTAATAATCTTGGGATTTGCTTTTCATTCCCTATAGGCAAAAGATTCTGCTCCTGCTATAAATGTAGTCACTTGGTAGAAGCTATAATAGAAATAAAATAAAACATGTAACATATAGAAGTAACTATGTTAGACTATGTTTTCTTACTAGCAATACACACACACCCACACAAATTACATACAGTTAATGGCAGAACAAAAAGTACACATTTATGAGTACCATGTTTTCCCTGTTTAAACTACAGACATCAACCTGTTTCTCATATACCTAGCCTGATATCACAAAATTGATTCCCATATTAAAACTAATAAAAATGACCTGAATCAACATTCATGAGGCTATTTAGTTAGTATTATTCACTAAACAATTTTTAAAGCAAATGTCAGAAAAATGTGATTATATCATATATATCAGATATTCACATGCAAAGCCTTTTCCCCTCCCCCCATAATACAATGGTATTCCTGAATGCTTTCAGACTATAAACGAACAATATTTGATTTATATCAAAATGTAACTTGATCTCTTCCACCAAAGGCACACCTTACCTTACCTCTCTAGCACATAATCTGAATGGGTTAAGATAGTAGAACTGTAACTAGAAAGAACTAAAACCACTATATATTTTTATACAATTAGCTTCATTTTTTTTCACATGTGCATCTCTTTAGCATATTTCAGACTGGCTAGTGCAGTTGTTGCTCAAGAAGCATTTAGTTAGCGAAGTTGAGGACCACTAACTATAAAGGGCCAGAATTCCAGATTGAAAGAACTGAAGGCAGAACTGTGAAACAAATTAAAAGCTAGGGACAATTAAAAAGACTTTATTATAATTAACCTATAAAATTACAAAGGAATGACTCAACATCAGTTCAACTGAGAACTGTTTTTAGATAAAATCAAAACTTTAAGTTTTATATTACACCCACAAATAGTATCATCAACCAATTAGTTATGAGTGCAGTGACTTGAGTTTTCTTCTTCGTGGAAAGTATAATTAAAGTATGACCCAGAAATTTTGAAGTTCTGATACTACTGTAGTGAGTTCTGCACCAATCATGCTAATAAGCAGTGAAAAATAATAACCCACACTTCTACCTACAATGACTATCAAAGAATAAGATTGAGGAGAAAAAAGAATATATTCCAGCATCCCAGGCCACTTTAGATCTGTTTCCTGTCATCAGCAAGAATGTCCAAATAAAAAAAGTATTACTTTTATTATAAGGAATATTATTTTTTCCCATAGATTTTCTTAATGTTTAAAGAAAATACATTAACAATTTAAATAAATTAGGGTATAAGAATAAGAAACTAAATATAATAAAGTTAAAATAGAATTAAATAAAGTTATAGAAGCCCTAAAGAAGTTTTTGTAAGTTTCTCTGCATTTTTACTTCAGGTTTTAAGATTCAGAGAGATACCCACAGAGGAAACTTATTTTTTTAAATAATGTAATAGTTTATTTTTACATCATTTTGTGCCTTTTTCCATCTCAGTTGTAATCCCCATGGGCTTCCCACCACTAATTCAACTGTGTGCCATCACCATAGTCCAGTATATCCTCCCTCCCCCATTTTTGATCCCACTCCCCATTCTTCCCCCATAAAATGTCTCTGGTATATAGTTGTTCATTATTATTATTTTCTGCCCTGGTCCATTATACTCCTGCTATGATTGAAAATATCTGGTATTTTTCCTTTTCTTTCTGGCTTATTTCAGTAAGCATGATCCCTTCCAGCTCCATCCATGTTGCTACAAAAGGCATTTGCTTATCTTTTTGATTGCTGAGTAATATTCCATTGTGTATATGTACCACATCTTTTTAATCCAGTCATCTACTTTCGGGCATCTGGGTTGATTCCATGTCTTTCCTATTGCAAATAAAGCAGCAGTAAACAGAGGCATGCAGGTGTCTTTTTGAATCAGTGTTTTTGTGTCTTTTTGGGTAGATACGTAGGAGTGGGAATGCTAGGTCCATTTTTAGCAATTTGAGAAACATCCAAACAGTTTTCCATAGTGGTTGTACTAATTTGTATTCCCACCAGCAGTGCAGGAGAGTTCCTTTTTCTCCACATCCTTGCCAACATTTGTTATTGCTAGTTGTTTCAAGATGTGCCTTTCTCACTGGTGTGAGGTGGTATCTCATTGTGGTTTTAATTTGCATCTCTAAGGAATATTATTTTTAAAGCTGCTAAAGATAAAAATAAAATAGCACATTGAGAAACATGCTGTTTCAATGCTAACCCACCTAGCCTTGGTTCTTTGGTATTTTGCTTAAGTCTTATTTTTTTTACCTACTGGACAGTCAATTTCCTTTTTATAATAAGCAGCTTCCAAAACATGTACACCATCCTATTTCCAAAAATATTAATACAAATTTGGTATGTCAAAGGAATATAATGAAAATTTATTAATTCGCTAAATTAAACTTTGATATTGAAGAAAGAGATACTTAAATATACCTCTGGAGAGAAGTCTAAAGCATCTTCTCAATCATCTTTGAAACATAGCAGAGTAGCTATGAAAACTTTGGGATTTACTTACATGTTGACATTAATTTAATGGATTCTCTAAAAAATTACAAATATCTTAAAACTAAGTATTAAAACTATTAAAATTAAGATGAGATTAATTGCTATGCTAGTAAAAACTTAATAAAGCTAATTAAAGGCACATTGCCACTACTTATTACTTTAAAGTACAAAATATAACACATTTTTATGTTTAGGCCTAAGTAAATGTGTCCTATAAGTACAGTTATTTTTAAATGACTTTGAACTAACTGGACAAAAACTCCACCGAGCACCTGAGATACAAAGATAAATAAGACTTCGTTACCAGTCTTTAAGAAGTTTGGGTATGACAACTCAGCCATATGATGAGTTGACTTCAAAATGACTCCCCCAAAACTGTAACATTATTACACAGTTATGATTATATAAATTTAGATTGGGATAATCAGGAAAAATTGCCTATGGAAGAAAAATCAAGAGATTTCTTGAATTATTCTGTATTGGGGAAGTTAGCCAATGTATATTATATTCTACCTCTGAGTGAAAAAAAGAACTAAATTTTAGGGTTTTTTTTTAAATACCTATGTTTGCTATGCAATATGTCATGTTCTCCTACAATCTGTGATTTCTTCAATTTCCTTTGGGAAATAACATTCTCTAATTCAGCAGTTGTTAATAAGCCATATTGAATATCTATACTAACTTACAACCCACTCTAATTCACTGCACTAATAGGCAATTTTCTTCTTTCACTGTCTTTATAATAAGGTACAAAATTATTTTATATCACTTTAGTATTAGCCCTTGAATATTTACTCCTATCATAATAAAGGCTCTTCATGGTGGTTTTAAATAAACTTAACTTCCTTCATTATCACAAATAGGAACTCAGAAATGTTTTCTCCACCACAGAACAATTCCATGTACTTTTGAGCCTAAAAATTTTAGTTCTGCAGTTATTCAACTTAAATCCAAACTAAAGTAAACATATGCCTCCTCCTGGAAATTGAGACAGGTATCTGTCATAAGTATAATTCTTTTTCTAGCCATAATATTTTAACAGTATTAGAACTACCATATAATGGGATTGGGATATGTCTTCAATCAAGAAACAAACTCTTTGCTTCAGCAGAATCTATTTGGGAAGATTTACTGACTCTTCTGCACTACCAACAAATAATACATATAATTCAGGTTCAAAAGATAGATGCATTATATATTAACAATTACAGAACTATTACCATATCTCAGCTGTCCTGGAGTGGGTGGTGCAGCTTCCAATTTTTCTAAATGGAAAAAAACAAAAGGTGTAGGGCAAGAATTAGTTACTGTAACATGATTTTTTAAATTACAATTAAGAAAATATCATCAGATTTACAAAATGAGAGAGTATCAGAGTTTATCCATAAATTAGCAGTTAGTAAATGACCAGTGCAATCTGTACCAAAAAATACTACTTGGTACATATGGATTAAATTACAAAATGGAAAAACAAAACTGAGTTTTAGTGATGAGCCCACCACGCAACTGTAGTTATATAATAAAACATTCATTTTTTTTCTCCCCAATTCATTCATTCATTTTTTATCTACCCTAATGATGGTGTTTACATTAATTACAATTTAAAAAAACCTCTAGAAATATAATTACCCTTCTTTTAGCAACCCTAAATGGCTTAAGAAATATACATACAAACATTGATACTGGCTAAGGAAGATTATTCAAAGATCTGTATGCCTTTCAAATACAGGAAAATAACCCTAAAGCAATACATGTTACAATAATCACTTCAATGGACTATGTTTTGCTCCTTAAGTAATCTCCATTGATAATATTTCAATACTTTGAGTTTTAAAATCTATACTACTAGATAATGTACAATATCCTTCATTTAAAAAAAGGTAGGGTGCTATAAAAAAATCCCATATAAAAATATGCTATTTATTTCATAATAAACACACAAAGATTTCCAAAATACAATTCAAATAAGCACCTTTAAGCACCCCATTAGATTAAAAAATTAACAACTGCAAGGAACACACCTAATCTCATAATCACCATTTCATTTGATAAATATTAGAGCAAACCAAGGTAACAAATACTTTTATTTTCATGCAATCCAACAGATTTATTTAATAACCTATAGAGAAGAACTCACAATATGGATTACTCAGTCCAAAAGGTTCACTACAATCAGATGGTCAAAGGCACTAGGACCAACTAGGACAAACTAGGTATATATTTTCTAGAGTATTCATTTATAATCTATGATAATATAATAACTAAGGAACTTAGTTATAAAAAAGTGAAAAGCAAACAAATTTTCATTGATATGCTGTATAAAAAAGTATGACCCATATTTATGAAGTAATTTTACTTAAAAAGCCATAATGGTTTTACAGAAAGAAACTCTAGGTTTTTTACAATAAAGCCTACAGTTTAATAATTTTTTTATTATTCAGATAGTTCTAATAATGCAAGTTTTATTTTTCCTTTTTTAGAAGTTTAAAAATGAAGATCTTTGTAGAATTTTACATCTTATTAAAATATGACCTTCATGCTTATTTTAAATGGGACAATCTTGTCCTTCTCTCTGAGAATCTAAATATATGCAATTATTACAAAATATATACAAAATATTTCTGTAATATAAATATAACCCATTAATTGTGATTCCTAAAAATATATGGGGGGGCCTCCCTGTTGGTGCAATGGGTTAAAGCACAGCACTATGAAACTATCACAGCCACTGCAGCACCAAGCTAGATCCCAGCCAGGGATCTGACCCACATGGCCTGGCAGACCTCTCCTGACCCGCCCGCTGCTCCCCTCAGCAGTGTACTTTGTCAATCTGCCTGTTCTGCTCCCTACTCTGTCTCTGGTGAATCCTCTCACCCCCCATCTCTGGCTTGTACCCCAGTTTTGTATGTATAAATAAATCTTTAAAAAATATATGGAAAATACTCAGCAAGTTTAAATGTAAGATTTTCAACACTTTCAACATTTTATTTTGTTTCAGTAACTTGGGAACATTAGAGACAATATTAGGACATATCAAAACTTTTAAAGCAGTTTCACTTTATTAAATTGATTTCTTAGGATGGACAAAGAATGAGGAATTTCAGTTAATTTTCTAATGAACTAAAGCAACAAGAAAACTGTGGTAGATAATACAGTTACTATGAAGTAACAATGACTTTTATTAGAAAAGATTTTTTTTTGATGATCTGGAATGGAACACTACAATCATCATTTTAAAGCTCAATTGTTACCTACGTAGGAATTACCCTACTGTACAAGTAGGGTACTGTCATCAAAAAAAAAATCAGAAGAAAACACAAATTAGGTATTTTTTCTTCTATTTTAGGGATAAAAATATATTTTAGCAGCTTTTTTATATTTGGTTATATAGTTATAAGTATAAATATTTAAGCTTTACACTACACTACCTTAAGAAAAGCGGGAAATCAGATTAGGAAGAGAAAGACAAAGTGACAAGAAGAACAAGAAAACAAATGAGGGAGAAATGCAGAGGTAAAAATTTAAAAAGAGAAAGTTTTTGTTTTTGGTAGCCTCAGACAAGGCCACAAGACTGCCTCAGTTGTCTGTAACCATGCCAGAACTCCCTAGACTCTGCTGAAGGACACAAGATCAAAGGTATGACAGGCCAGCTCATGTTCTACAAATTTATTACTTAAAAAAATTCTGACCAATTATTTATCGTTTTCTTATTAAAAAAAAAAACTAAGATGACATCTGGTTGCACAGGAAATTAGCTAACTGTAGGTTCTAATAAGCAGAGTTTCAGTTAATCAGGTATTTCGAGGTTCCCCCCCTCCCCCACTGACAGGTAACCAATTAGTTTTTTGATTGCTAAGATTGTGGTGCCTTTCCTAGGGCATGTATTTGGGAAAGTAATCCTACAAACAAGACTACACTACTGCAACTATTTATGACCTCTAACCACAGAAGAATAAAATTACTATCTTAAAGCTCGCATTGCTTTAATCCTGGAAAATTCCTAGTAGGCTTTTAAACAATATCTTAGAATACTTCATAACTAAGATGTAATTTCTGTAGTCAAATATTTTCATGAGTACTACAAGTATGTTAAAACTTATCATTTTACATAATTTTATATACTTAGAATAAACTAGAAATTTCTTTTAAACTTTTCAACAATACATAACATGTAAGTTTTAGAATAGGAACTCTGGAAATGGAACAACTGCCTGTGACCGGTCACAAAACCTCTCACTAGCTCTGTAGCTGTGGCCATTTGTAACCGCATCCTTCCTGCAGGGCACCTCCAGGGAGGTCTTGTTTGGCTACTCATTTTATCAGGAAGTATATTTCACCAGCAAATTGACAGTCGGTGCTTATTATAGATATGAAAAACAATTACAATGTTTGGGACACTGTACAAGATTACAAACCTCATTCTGCTGCACTAGCCTAAGTGTAAAGAGCTGGATTATTATTCACAATAGACATTTTAAGAGTCCTCTGATGAAACAATAATAATCTTAGTATCAACCATACACCATTGTTTTGTGAGAAAAAAAATTGTACTAGTGATTTTTTGAGAACACCAAACAACAGAACTGAAAGTTAAAGACATTCTCTAGATTTTAGTTAATATTAAAATGAGATGGTTTAACAAAAAGAAACTGATGTGAAACAACTCTATCTGTAAACCACCAATAATTTATCAGAAATAAACAATTTGATGGCTTATCCGCCAATCATTTCTCTAGGTTTTATATATGTGTGTGTGTGTGTGTATTTATATACACATATATGCCTCTATTTGCACATATATATACACAAAACTATTCTTTCATTTTCATAAAGCATTATATGTATTTCCTTTATCTTATCTTTAAACTTTTAAGATAGTTTACTGATGGCTTTTATTTCATCATATAATGCACAACCCTTTAATCCCTTATTACTATGTATTTATTATTTATTCTAATATTTTATAAATAACACCAATACAAACTTATACCTAAATAATTTTTATATTACTTTAAAAGTTCCTTTGGTTATATTCGTAAGTGGCATTATTCAGTGAATACAAAGCATAAATTAAAAGATCTTAGAGAATTGCAAATCACTCTCAGAAAAATTATGTTACTTCTTATGTTTCCATCATGTTCCCATCATGTTTTTAGAAAATGGAGGTAAAATGTCATTAAAAAAAAATCCTGGAACATAATTTCTAAGCCCCAATCAGTTGCCAAGTTATTTTCACTGGCAACAAGATTGTAATACAATAGGTATTACAAGTCTGAGAAGTTTATTACAAGATTTAACCCATGTATGGCTCCTTATTTTGTATTTCCCTTTACAAAATAACTCATAAAAAAAAAAACCTTTAGTCTAATATTAAGTGTTTCTAAAACATTTTTTAGGCTAAGCTGTACCTGGTATATTTCATTTTAATTAATACTCTCATAAGTGTTACATCTTAAATTGAAATTCAAAGTACTTTGGTAGAAAAATGTAAGTGGGACATTGGATCTTCTATATTGTAAAATTACAGAAATGTTTACAGTGGTGATACTGGAAAACAACTAGATCCCATGACATATAGAGTCAGTTCTATTATTTAATAGAAGCTATAATTTGTTAATTTTCATTGTTCAACTCCATTAAATTTAACTGTATGATTCAAAATACAAACCCAAACTTCAAACCCAAGAGAAAATATGAAAAACAAAAGCAGTTAATTTCTATCATACTTCCAAAAATTCTAAATGTGGTAATTTATTTTGTTAGCAACAAGTTAACAATGTAAGATCACCAAAACAAAGGGAAAAGATCAAAATCATTAATAATAGTCATAATACGTATCAAAGTAACTTCACTCTGAACTGACATAATGAGAAGCATTTAAAGTACACACTATTCCTTTATTACAAATCATTTAATATTCCTAAGTGCCTAATTATCTAATTTCTGATCTTCTGACCACTTAGTGTTTGCTCCAAACACCACCACAGAAGTAACAGGAAGTGAAGTTGGCAACACAAATCACTATCTGGCCTAATCAGAGACATAAAAATTAAAAAGATGAAACTACTGGGTTTAATTAACAAATTGGGGGCTACAGGTTTCAGCTATTTTTATTTTTAATCATTATAAATAACTGCTTAGATTTTTACTGGAACCAAATTTCAAATGGGTATAGTGAAATTTACATTAAATATGCAACAATTAAATATAAACTTAAAATGCAAACCATGCGATATGCAAAAGTTTAAGCAAATCATATGAATACCAAAAAAAAAAATCAAACATGCACCAAAAGAGGATTATAAAG